ATACAAAAGAATCAGCATCAGACATGTATATGTATATATAAATATAGAAAAATATAGATAATAATAGATATTAATAAATAAATGTAGCTAAATAACACAAAATATATCAAACATTAAGAAGGTGTTTACCACTGAAAGCATGCAACTCTGCACCACCCGCCAGCTAACATCAACAAAACAAAAGAAGAAAACAAAAAAATGAAAAACAAAGACAACAACAACACAATTAATTACAGTTCTATGATCACATTTCCGAACGTGCAAACTTCAACGAATGACAGCTTGAGAACTGATAGATGACAATGTCATCTGTCATTATGACATTATATAATTCCGCTTGACGACAATGCAATGCAAACAATTAATTAACATGAGGGTGAAAAGAAATTTAAAAACATTAAGTTAAACATATGGAATTTATGGAAGATACTGGAAATTTTTATAATTAGTAACGTCATTGATAACAGATTGGAACAAAGAAAGTGAAATAATCGTATTAGCAGTGGGTAGAGGTATCAAAAGTTCTCAAGTCTTGTGAAATTATACAACATGCAAACAAAGAACTAATGAGGTATTATAAGCAATGGAAATGAAAGAAAAATACAATCAAAACTACAAGGTAAGGGGAACAAGCGACAACAATAAGAAACAAGAATGGTGTACAGTGATTGTGGTGATAATTGGATGCAATGATATGATTATTTACGTGCAACTTTCAGGCTCGCCACGTTCGCTTCCCCACGCCCGGCTGCAGGCTCCGGCACTCCTGCCACCTTCGGGTATTTGCTAAGGAGAGAACTTAGATCCCCAGAGCATTTTACCTTATGCTTAGCGCCGTCTGCTGTCTTCAGGAAGATATTGCCATCCTGCGTCCAACAAGCACGTATGCCGAAGTGATGGCGCGCCCTGACAAACAACTCCTGTCTGGATCGTGTTAAAAACTCACGCACAGAAGTTTTAGAGCCCCGAAGACCAGTTTTAGCTCGCCAGACCAAAGCCTTATTTTCGATGGTTGTGAACCGCACCAGGATTGGTCTAGGAAGATCTTTAGTGCCTGCTCCCAGTCGACGGCTTGTCTTGATTGCAGACGATGGAAGATTGAGTTGTAGCCTGGTGTTTATAATTTCCAGTACTACCTTGCTGCAGTCCTCCTCCTTAACTTCGGGTATACCCAGAAACACTAAATCTTTACGTCGGTGCCGTGTCTCCTGGTCATCAGAACACTTGCAGCACTCTGAGATTTGTCTCCGAAGCGTGCCCAAAATGTTATAGACCAGTACCCGGAAGACTCGAAACTCCTCCGCTATCTTGGCCACTGTGTCCTTACCAGGGCCGGCTGCCTCAATTTGATCATTGATCTCATCCATCCTCGCCAATAACCTCTCCTCCATGGACAGATTGGTGGTTATAAGATCAGCGTGCGACATTGTGGGTGTGAAGTGCCTGGTTGCCTTAGTGAATTGATGTGCTGGCAGGTGGTGGCTAAGTTGAACTATTATGTCACATAGACGTTGTAACTATTAATATTATTGTATAATTTTTACTATTTAACATAATACTGGATAATGCACTTTAAAACTATTTTAATCAATTTATGCAATTTATTTTCGCAATAAACAAATTACGCGTGTGTACTTATTTAGCACCTACCGACGAAAATCCATTTGCCTTAAGGAGCTCCGTCGTGATTCCATCCTCTCCGGGGGCTTTTCCATTTTTAAGCTGCCCCAAAGCCACCGCGATCTCACTTAGGCTGATCTCTGGCAATTCTTCGGTGAAGTGGCGGACAAGTGTGGCTCTGGAATACTCCGAATCTGAATGAGGACGGGGTGCTTTTGACGCGTACAACTCACCGTAGAAGTGCTGAACCTCCGCGAGAATCTCCGACCCAGAAGATACGACTTTCCCACTTGATGTGGTCAGCTTCGTCCGATGACTTCGACCCAATTGCTGGCTGAAGACTTTGGACCTCCGATTTTGCTCGATTGCTTCTATTAATGCGCGTTTATTGACGCATCGGAGGTCGCATTTACCAGATTTGACATCTTTTTGTTAAGATCTGACGAAGCTGTCCTACTACCGAGTCGCCGCTATTATGTACTTTGGCATTGAAGTATCCCATGACAACGATTATAATGTTAGTATGGATATAGCAATATGTTAAAAGAGGAGAGCACAAAAGGCGTATGGAAATGGCCGAAGAGGAACATGCCATTAAGATGGAGATATATCGCCAACAACTGAGAAATGTCTCAATGGAGGCAGAAATTTTAAAAATAAAAATAAGTTGTGAAAATTTTAGGTACATTGAATTATATGTATTATATTTTTAAATATGTGAATTCAACTTCTTTAATTTACATCCTAGAATAAGCTTCCTTCTATTTAGCCTAAACTTGATAAAGGTAAATTCCCTAAAATAAGTGCACATTAAAAATGTTCAGTAATAAAGGCAGCCCGCACAGAATTGCCTCTAAGGGAGCTGTTTAAAGATATCACTGGCACATTATCATCAATAACCTCTGCACGTTCAATGAAGTCTTCTCTGTGCATGGCTATATTATGCAATATTGCCAATGCAACAATATACAAAAAAAAAAAAAAAATCAAAATTCTTTATTATTATCTTAAGAATTACACTATCTGTCTAACATTGAGGCAGTCCCAGTAAGTTATTATACAATACTTGTGTTGGGACTGACTCGATCCTTTCTTTATTTATTTAACACTCTTAAGAATATTAGTTTAGTATTATTTAACTTAGTTGTGAACCCTCTAAGAAGACACCGGAATCGCTGCTTCCATACTCCAAAACACCTTTCAATTGTATTACGAGTATGAATATGAGCTCGATTATACATTTCTTCTTTAGTCGTAGCTAGATGCAATACTGGTGTAAAAAGGTACGGAGTACAGGCATAACCTGAATCTCCCAGTAATCTTCCTTTGAATTCGCCGTCTTCAAATCTTTGTTTTATTCGAGATTCATTAAATATTCTGGAGTCGTGTGTGCTGCCTCACCAGTGTGCAACTATATCCATTATCTCTAATTTTGCATTTGAGACAATTGTAAAAATGTACACAAATTTTGATATCCTAAAATTCTGTTTATTTTTTCCCTTATATGAAAGAAGAACAGAGAAAGAAAAATCTTACTTGCACATTTATTGAACTATATCCTTTTCTGTTAATGTAATATTGTCCCACATTTCCACCTACTTTTGGGATTCGAACGTGTGTGCAATCAATAGCGGAGATAACTTGTCGGAAAGCACACAATGAATAGAACCCCGTGATCACGTTATTTTGTTCAATATCAGTACGTGGAATTTTAATCCACCGAGCCCTATGTGAAACTATTGCAAATGCGAGCTACGTATGGTATTCCGAAATACCTCTCACCGATCTGACGGTTTCTCCGATAACACTGTTCTCCGACAGTTAGTTGAGCGAAAAAATAATTGACCGATGAAACGATTCGCCGAAAATATTATTTATCGACGGTTGGTAGTCCGAATGAATCCTTCGCCGATGTAATAATCCTTCCATGCCGGTTTCGGCTACGGCGACCGTTTCGTGACTACTGGCGTCTATCATGTGGCTAAAAAATTCAACTTTGTTTATAAATATTCTTCCACAGAGTGGACACGTGAGAACACCATAAACATAGTTATGCCGTTAATTAGTTATTATTAACATAATTGCCGCTGGTGGTCGGGCTTTTATTTCGTCACGTTTAGCGTTCACGATATTTTTTGTCGCGCCAGGGACGTCCACTCCCCGCGGTTCGATGCAAGCTCTTCCCACCGAGATGAAT